TCACGATCTTTCACAATACATACGTAAGCCCACAGTTCTCTATCATCTCTTTTCTCTCTCATGTAACTCTCTGATTCACACAGGTGGGTCGATGGAGCAGAAGGCAGGTGAGCCATGGTTCATCTCCTATCGTCAGTCCATTAGCGTTAGAGCTTCGAGACACAGGCGACACAGACGGGTGGCAGCAGCTCTCCACTCCCCTCCACATCCACACTCCTCCCACGGCACACCCTCCGACAACTCGCCTCAGTTCCTACTCTCCTACTCTCTCTTCCCTCCCACAGCACACCCGCTCGCTCCCCCTCACGACTCCTCACCCACGCGTCACACACACGTCCCAGTCGAACTACTCAGCATCACACGTCCACAAGTACCTCACCCCTCCGCCACACCCTCACCACTGCACGCGACCACTCTCACCATCTCACGCCCTCACGGAGTCTCACGCAACACGGAGTTAGTAACGTAATAACACTGATTTTATTGCACATATCTATCTATATACTATGTTGTTGACTTGTAACACATTGCTTGTGCATAGCTATAATTTCCACGCTTGGTTTCTGCTACATGCGTCTCAGCACCTACTTTACATACAGTTCAATGAACTCTATTGGAAGCCATGGATGTCCAACCAACACAGTCTGGCCTCTATAGGGTCAGAGGTGGGCTGGGGAGTGTCTTAGTGAAGTAGGAGGATTGTTGAATGAGCAACAGCTACTGTTGCTACCACAACAACCTTCACATCCCAGAGAGGATCATCTGGATAGAAGCTGTTAGTAGGTGTCCCTGGGTAATAAATTTCTGATTCACAGAAATAGTCTCCAGCCACAAATGGTGGGACAGTAATGTTGATGCTAGCATCACAAGGACATAAATCATCCGAGAGGGTGTGTCTCAGAAAACCGCAGCAAATGTCCAGATGTGTTTGCCCCTGTGGATTGCCGTGTGTGAGACTGACACCAGAAACATAGGCTCCTTCTATTGTGGTCACATGTCCACGATGGTAAGCCTCAAATGCATCGGTGCGACCATACTGGTAGGCTCTGATAGAGCCACACACACTAGTGTAGTCTCCTCCACTGACAGGGAACAAGACTGAGTCACAGAAGAGATTCCTGGTGTTAAATTTACCACAGGTCCTCTTGGAGTGACTAGTGAGATTCCAGCCAAGGGGACAGTTGGTGTTGGGGTCTGTCATGTTCAGGTAGACCACACGTCTCCAACCTCCTGTACCTCCACATTCATATGTGTGTGCAAGTTCAAGTATATAGTCAGCAGTCTTCTTCAGTTCCTTTGTAACATTGGTCAGTACATTTCGCTCCAGTTCAGAGTGCGCAGTCGTCACTGTCATACTGAGTTCAGTAGCAGTCTTGTTCTTGTGTTCTTCAATATCTCCACTCAGAGAATCTACTTTACTTTCAATTCTGCTAAGATCTTCCCTTATTTCAGTCATGAATGGACTCAGTGTCTCATGTACTGCTACAGCTAGCCTCACAACTAGTGATATACATAGAACCTTGGTAATCAAGCTATTTTACTTACGAATTTCTCACCATCACATTGGGAAGCTCCAGTCTCCAAGAGAGAGAAAGCAAATGCTGCCACCACAACCAACTGGAGACTCTTCATCCTTCCACTTTAGCGGTGTTCTTTAGCTCGTCTTTACAACTGAAATAGAGACTGCACCTCTTTCTTTGGTTATACTGCCATAAACAAATTCTGGAAGCGATGTCAGCATGGTTACACTTCAGTCTACCTAAATAATAACAGCCTTTTTTGTTACTAAAGACAACATCCCCTGCCTCAGTCTATCTGTCTTTGTCACCAGGCTCTACAGTGTATACTGGGTTTGTGTGTCTGTCTGCACATACAGCAATATTGCAGCTCAAAAATTATAATACTTACGGCTTTAGTACTGCGGTGGTAAAGATGTGTCCAGTTTCCTTGTTGGGCACGCTGTGGAGGGGCAACTAGACATCGAGTCTTGAATTGCTCCAAATGTGTACTTACTGATAAACCTAGCATGTGGTGTAGCTTTGTGCTTGGATATAAGACTTCACTTCTTCCCTCCCTCTTAGAACCAGATGTCTAGGTAGACTCACTTTGATTGCTTATTTGTTGGGCTTGGGGCTATAAACGTAGTGGTTTTAGGAAAATTAGTTTGTAGCTGCACATTGTACGTTGACAGTTTGCTCCTCACTTCTCAGTTTTTGTTCTTACTTCTCGGTTTTGGTTTTCATTGTTGCTTTTCACTTAATTAATGGATTTCCCTGTGACACTTGCCTCTTTCTTTTATACATACATACCTACCATATACTTTTGACTTTGATGTTTCTGCCAAGAACAAACTCTGACAGCTTTCATAGCTATGCCACATTGCTTGTACTTCAGTCTCTCTAATATCAACAGAGACCATGTTTATGCATTGTTTGTCCCATTTCAAGGATTTCTGAATTCAGTGGCCTATGGCTGGAGTTGTGCAGATTTCTTGAGTGTAATGTGAAGTCGATGAAAGCTCACTATTGTTTGTACTCCACTGCTGTGGTCTTTTAGTAGCTGGATATTCTCTCACTTTTCATTCAGCACCGTTTATAGTACTTGGTTATGCGTATGCACACCATTCTGCCACTACATGCAACATGTCACCAAGTTTCTTTAATCTACCGTAGTGCATACTTTTATCACTGACTGTAGTTACTATAAGGCGAATGCATGCATTTGTGGCGAGCAGGAGCAAGTACAATCCTGCTACTATATCTCCCATTTCACCTTTCACTTTCTTTTGATCTCTCATCCCTCACTTTTCTCTATGTGACTCCACTCATACTCTGTGGAAGTCTATGGAACAGAAGGCAACAATGGTTCATGTCAGTCAATTGGAGAACTTCGAAATACAACGTGGACATATACAGGTATGCCATTGAAAACTCCACTTCTCTCACTTTTAGAATATATAGTTATCCAGTCAAAAACTAGGTCTCTCTCTTTACTCTCTTTGTTTAGCCAAACACAGTGTCTTATTTAGCACAATCACAGTGTCTGAGTTTAAAGGCAAAGAGAACAGATATTCTTAAGCTACTGTATTCTTTTCTGCTGTAGACTGCGATGCTACCTGGCCTCCCTACAAGGCTCAGAACTGCCCAACCCCCAGACACTCCTGGCGTCCATTGCCAGACCAACCAAACTGGCTCTGGGGAAACTGGGCGTGTTCTCCGTGGCCTCACTCCATGCCATCGTGAGTCTGCCACAGTATACCTCCGAATAAGAGACACATCTGATCACTCTGAATGTCCCCATTTTCCCCTTTATTCTGAGGTTTCACTGAAGATTTAATAGAAGAAAAAGTACATTTTCCTCTCTTCTGTTTGTAGGTCAGTGCTCGCAGTATTCCATCGTCCACCTCAAACTATGGCTCCTTCAAGTTCAGTAGAAGTGGCAAGGCACCCCTCTCCCCAACTGTAAGCCTACAAAACTACCCCACATTGCCTATAGTCTCACATTTCTCGACAGAGTGGTAAATGGAAAAGTCACAAGAACAAGGTAATTAATGTGCCCCGTAAATCAAGACAAGATATCAATTTGTGTGACCTGATCAAAATTAATAATAATCTTTGTGTCCCCCATGTTGAATTTTTAATACATTTCTCTCTCAACAGATGTTCCAGAGGATGGCGACAGATAAGAGGTCTTCACTGAGGTAAGTATGCTGTATATACCTGAGTGAGAATGTCTGGATCAACATTGGCTCCAACTATCATTAACAGGAGTATGGAGATATCAGGACCTTATCCCATGCTACCACCGTCAGCACTCCACTCTCTCGCTCAGTCCTACTCTGAAATGGAGGTGAGTCTCTACTCTAGGGAGGTATGAAAATTCACAGTAACAAGGTCTTGAATGGTGCATGGGCATCACAGCTGATGAGAGGGGACCTTATATTATGCAGTTTGTGTAACTTGTCGTATTGCCCACTTACATACACACCGTTAGCTGTAATAATTTGCCACGCCTTCTGAAGTGCTCTTCTCTCAATTCTTCGAGATTTTTGCTCATAAAGAGTGTACAAATTTCGCATAGTTACGGATGGATTCGTGAAGTTGGAGGCTCTACTAGATGTCACGTTCACTTATACTGCATTCTGTTTGCATATTTCATGTCCAATTGTCTGCAGGAGACAACGGATACAGATGCCCCGCCTTCTTTTTCTCATGAACCAATCTCCCCACTGTCCCCGGTGATAAAGATCTTCACCCCCGGCAACAGGGTCGTCTCGGTCCCTCACCGTGACAACACCACAATCACTGACATCCTCCATGCCGGCTGCAGGGTAAACCCCTTAGTTACTCAATCGGTGGGCTATAGCAAGCAGTATTGACTCCATCTATTATAGTTGAACCCCTCTCTAAGGACACCTTCAAGAACAGTTCTTGCATGCATTCAACCCTGATATAATATACACACATTTTCACCTATCGCATTAGCTTCTGGATTTGACTTTACAGCGTACAGTGTTCAATAAATAGAGCTCAATCATATAAGGTACATTTGTCTGTATCTGTAGGTAAGACAGTTGGAGTCTAGGGACCACTTCATTCGACTGAGAAACGAGAGAGAAGATGGAGGATTTGGTGAGTAGCTAATTGTGGGTAGCTCTACTGTTGACGATGATAATTATCTCCCTATCAAAAGAGTGTGAAATTCCTGGACCAAATGAGTTGTTACGAGATCAGGTAAAGCACTGGTTCCTCCTCATTCTCCCCTTATGACAATGTTCCCCATTCTACACCAGGAGTACACTCATCTGGAGATGTGTCAGAAGTGGACTCACACGGTCTTTCTCTCTCAGCCTGACATTCAAAACTGCACCACCACTGCCTTTGGTAGGACACTGATTCTTGCAAACCTTTTTCCCAGAACAGTTCTTCAACCCTGAAAAGAACACCTCACCTTATAGACACTTTCTTCCCATTTATGCCGGCATTAGAGGGCTTCCACTGTTTCTATAACTTACATGGTTGTCAGGTCTGATGCTGGAACCGGTATGGGACGTGGGTGGGAACAGACTGGAGACGGTACTGGTGAGCCGAGTGGAGGAAGGGGGTGTGGCAGATCGGTGTGGGGTGTGGGAGGGTGACGAGATGGCGAGGATGAACGGGAGGAGTGTGAGGGAGGCCGGATGGGTTGGCACCCGGAGCTCACTGGACGGTACGACAAAACTATAGCTACTGATTATTATTATTTGTGAAGATAACATCTGGTAGCTTGATGGAATTATAATGACAGGGAACTCCCTCATTTCCTCCTTTATTTCCTCATCCTACTATTGTATACTACAGCTCCCACAGTTTCCCTATCACTCAAGACCTGCCACATCGAGATGCCCGTCTCGGAACTGACCAATCAGATTGTGGAGAGCCTCATATGCCCTGCCCCTCCCTCGTCCAACACTGAGCTCTCACAGGAGGCCATTCAACAGCTCACTGTACCAACTCCAGCCAGAGGTGGGCAATAATAAGAGGTTCCTAACAGCTTTATTGAACGCTACTGCAAGGAACACTAAATCTGATATTATTAGGCCTTGCATGATAAGTCTATTCACTTCTTTCTAGACATCTCTATTGATAATTCTAGGGTTGGGGAGCATTGCTGCTAGTACACTCTTTCCTCTACACTGACCAACTATTTTATAGATGACACGGAGAACTCCAATAAAAGCTACAGCGGAAGTGTCTCACGAGAGCAGATCAACTCCCTTCTCAAGGCAAGCTCAGATTTCAGTGGGCAATGGGTTAAACCCACCTACCATGTGATGGTCCAGGACTCAAGTGAGCTGTCAAAGCTGCTGAAGAGTTGGGACGTCCAGAGAGTGAGAGAAGAGAGAGCGACGACCTGGACCACGGAGGACAGACTGAGAAAGAGTGCCCAAGACCTTCTGGACACTGAGAGAGACTACGTCAGGGTGAGTTAGTGGAGCAGCAAAGGCTGGGTTATATTGTCTATCAAGTCTTATACATGTAGGTTTGAGCTTTCTAAAAAAAGTTTTTGTCGAAAAAGTTGGGCAACACAGTGAGAACAAAATTCTCTGATGTTGATTTTCTTGCAGTTGCTGCACGTGTTAGTGGAGACAGTACCTGGAGCCCCTGCAATCAGAGCCAATCCTCTCCCCAGACGACGTAAGTCTCGTCATCACCTGACTAGTCACATGACCAGTCACACCAGTGTCATGTGACCTTCTCCCCATACAGCTGGCAGCTCTGGAGGGAAACACTGTGGAAGTGTTGGAGTTCCAGACCAAGTTTCTCCAGGGACTAGAGGTATAATAGCAACTCTACCTTTCAGGAATTTAACCTACGTTTTGTGTGCCACTCATGCAAGCTGACTGCTTTCATGATGAGTTTTTTTCACAAGGGTTTTTAGGTTTGCATGGTAATCCTTGGGGGAGTTAGTTCTGAAAGCTGAGCTTGCATGACAGCTTATCTTACATTGTCTGTGATCATCAGCTAGTGTGCTTTTCCCCCTCAATTCAACTACAT